TATGACCATAGATGGCTTTAATTTCTTCATCAGAGAACTGTCTGTTCATATCCTTTGACCATTTATCAATTGGGGAATGGCTTGTGTTCTTATAAATTTGTCTTAATTCTCTATATATTTTAGAAATGAGGCCTTTATCAGAGAGACTGGTTGTAAAAATTCTTTCCCAATTGAAATCTGTATCTTTTTGATTTAAGTTTTATTGGGGACTATTTCTCCTCTCACTGAGAAACCAGATGTATCTTCACATACACGCAACAAGTCTGAGCTTAATAAAACATCCCTATTTTTTCATCCTTTGTACTTCATCATAAAAAGAAGCAACACCTCTAAAACCATGTTAGCAAGATGATTTAAACAGAATTATACAGACATATGCATTCTGACACCTACTTATACACATACAGATTTAGTACTGGAATGTCACAACTTTTGAAGCACTCTTTTTTGCAAAATGTTTTGGTGATTCCATACCATGTGTTGCAGCTTTATCTGTCCCTCTTACCCCATACTTCTTGAAAACAGGAGATGGTTAATGAAAGGGTTGTTATCTTTTAATCTAACTTTTGCTTGTGGTCTAGACTATAGACCACTACTTTTGCAGTTTTTATTGTCTTTGGAGGTCATTGTCTTAGACTTCACTCATTCTGCCTAGACATTAGACCCTAAAAGGGACCAAATGAGTTTCTTGACCTTAGTGATTTAAAGTGCATACATAACCCTTAGTCGTTATTACTGGAGTGACAATAGGCTAAATATACTAAGGTGTACTTTTTGGCCTGGCATATAATAAGTGTTTATTAAACTCTTGTTGAATTGTTAACTTTTTGGTAAATCCTGTATCATCTTGTGTCAAGAAGTTAATGCAGCTATGATCTGGTGATGTATTCTGTAAACTGAGGCAGAAATCTTATGGAACCTGGATCCCTCTTTCCCAAAGGGAAGAAAACCAGAGGGAGACTGTGCTTGTAAAAGTCAAGAGTGATCTTTACTAGGTAGTTACATACATGCATGTGGAGCAGACAGCCTAATGCTGGAACAGCTCAGCTCAGAGGGAAGCAGGGAGTGGTTTATCTATTTCAAATAAAAGGAGGAGGGAAATGGGCTGATATGGGAAGGGAATGGGGCATGTTGTGGATGGAGAATTCCAGGTATGAGGGGCACTGACTTCTTGGTATACTGAAGAGTAAACAAGACAATCACTATGACTCAAAAGTAAAGAAGACAATGACTATGACTCAGAGAGTCCAAGGCTTGAATACAGACAAGATAAAGGGGATGTCTCTAAGATCCTGAGGCTAGCTGATAGCTCAGGGGCTGCCCAAGGCTGGTTTGTGGTAAGGTAGTTTCAGCTGAAGTCATTGCTTCTGTACTTCCAGCTGAGGTTACTCTTGGTTACAGCAAAGGATTGTTAGTTTGTCAAGCCATTCTGTATCCTGATTGTTCAAATTAGCCCTATACCTCTCCCATTAGTTACCTGGATAATTGGGAACTGAAGCAAATAAAGGTGGTTAGCATATTCATTTTCACAGTTCTGATATTGGCTGCTGTTATTATCAACCTGGGTGAGTTACCATGGATATGGAACTGGACATCTACACCTGCCAATGTGTATACTTGCTGAATGTTTATTTTTAGTAAAAGAATTTGTTAAAAAAAAAATCTCTGCCTCATTGAATCGGTTTTTCCAGATCTTAAACTTGCATTTGGGGCCACTATATACTTGGTGTATAACTAGGGTTGTGCTAATAAATGTTTAACAACCAGGTCTCTGAAAAAAATATACACTCACAACGTGTAAATTTAACAACAGTTGTCAGGAGCCACTTCCATCTGGCTCTAGTATATCACTACCTAAAACGATCATCTAATTTCAGTAAAATTTATATCATTAACTCATTCTTCTCAGCACTGGAATGGGTTGCTGTTTATTTTTTTTTACCTCTAACAAAAGCTTTATTTTAATAAAATGCTTAAAATGTAATAGTCTTTGAAAAAGATACAATTTCTTCCATAAAACAGACTATATTAGATAATAGGTATTTAAATTGAAGGCTACTGCACTTCTCAAAGTTATGAATAATCTTTTGATCACCAAATCTAGTGACCTCAAACCATTAGCCATTTTTATCCTCTCTGTGGCATTTGACAATATTGAACACTCTCCCCTCTTGGATACTGTTTTTGAATTTTTAAAACTATTTTTCATATCCCCATTTTCTCTCTCCTGACTTTCTCCCTTTCCCATTGAGAAAACAAGAAAAACAACATCCATTATAAACATGTATAGTCAAGAATACAAATTCTGCCGTTGGCTATGTCAAAAAAATCCTCACTGTGTTATTTCTCTATCTAGAAATTGGTAATTGGCTGTAATTGTGTTGATCAGAGTTCCTGAGTTTCACAGATGTTTGTCTCTACAGTATTGTTGTTATAAACTGTTCTGGTTCTGCTCATTTACCTTAGCATCAGTGCTTACAAATATTACCAGTTTTCTGTGAAACCATCCATTCATAATTTTTTTTTTTTTTGTGATTGGGGTTAAGTGACTAGTAAGTGTCAAGTGTTTGGTCTGAGGCCAGATTTGAACTCAGGTCCTCTTGACTCCAGGGCCAGTGCTCTATCCACTGCACCACCTAGCTGCCCCCCATTCATAATTTTTTACAGTACATTGTATATTCTTTCCCTTTCATATGTCATAACTTGTTTGAACATTACCCAGTGAGTAGGCATCCCAATTTTCAATTCTTTACCATCACAAAAAAGAGATGCTATAAATATTTTTGTACATATGGGCCCATTTCCTGTTTTCCTTGGTCCCTTTGGGATATAGGCTTGTATTGCTGTTTCATAGTGCCTGCAGAATTCAGCAATTTTTTGGGCATAGCTTTCTGTTAGTGCTGGACCAGTTCACATCTGTATCAAGAGTGCATTAATGTCATATTAGCCAATCTGTTAGGTGTGAGGTGGTATTTCAGAGTCGCTTTAATTTGTATTTCTTTAATCAATAGTTATTTAGAGCATTTCTTCATGTAACTGTAGATAGCTTTGATTTCTTTGTCTGAAAACTGCCTGTTCACATCCTTTTACTATTTGTCCATTGGGAAATTGGGTATTTTTATAAATTTGACTCAGTTCTCTAATATACCTATGTTCCACAGCCCCTGCAGCATTTGTCATTTTTCTTTTTTGTCACCTTTGTCAAATTGATAGCTGTGAGTTTCTACCTCAGAGTTTAGTTTTCATTTCTCTAATTTTTAGTGATTTAGGTAATTTTTTTTCTTATACCTATTAATCACTTGGATTTCTTCCTCTAAAGATTGCCCATTCATGTCCTTTGACCATTTATTATTTGGGGAATGGCTCTTATTCTTATAAATTTAACTCATTTCCTTATATATTATAGAAATAAGTTCTTCATCAGAGAAACTTTCTGCAAAGCTTATGGGAGTCTTAGGGACCTCTTTGGACAATGTGTTGATGTATGTTGATGGTGAGAGCAGGGGAAGCTAGGCTGGAGGTCCTGAAATCATACTAGTAGTGATGGGCTGGATAAGTTGGTCTACAGTTTATTGTTTGTATCATTTCTTTGTGGTGCTTTTTTTTGGTTTTCTTTTCTTCCTGTCATTGATGAGCTTTCTGAGTTGAGAACTCTGAATATGACAGAATATTGGGGTAGTGGGATGCTACTCACAGGAATCTTTTCACTTTGCTGGGCATAGCTTTCTGTTAGTGCTGGACCAGTTCACATCTGTATCAAGAGTGCATTAATGTCATATTAGCCAATCTGTTAGGTGTGAGGTGGATTCCTTTTGTAGTAATCTTTTTCAGAAGAATGTTTACTTAAAATTCTTCATTGGAAGAACTCCCATTTTGGAACTTAACCTATCAGTGATGATTAGTAGTTCTAGAGAGTTGCCTAGGGGCGCTGAGAGGTTAAGTTGCTTGCCCAGGGTCATATAACCAGGACTTAACACTAGAAATCCTCCTACCTCTGAGGCCAGCTCACTTACTTATGGGATTCTCAATTCTCTTTTCATTAATTACAGAAATGAGTAATAAAGACATCTAGTGGCTTGTGATGTACAGAGACTTAAGACATAAGTCAATTCTTAATTGATATAGTTTACCACCAACTTCTCTGCTTGGTTTCCACTCCACTATCATTATCATCATCATTCTTCTGCTCTTCCCCTGTCTCTCTTCCCCTCCCCCTAGGATAAGCTCATCACCAGAAAACTCATAAGCATGGAAATTGCTTCAGCTTCTGATTGGAGGGCTAGAGGGCAAAGCAAAAAAACTCCCATAGCCTCCCTTTATAGAAGGCTCAGAATCCCATCATTATGTTTTTGCTACCAGCTGTTTTGCTTGGTTTCAACTCCACCATCCTTATGCCTCTGTGCTAGGTACCCACGGAGGTTCTTTTCCCTCCCCTACCCCCCCAACCTACCCCAACCCTGCTGCCCTTTTAAGATCCTTGAACGAACTGGTTTTCTTAAATGTATCCCCAGTACTTAGCACACTGCCTGGTACATGGTAGGTAACTAATAAATATTTATCATATTGGATAGAAGCACCCTAGAGATATACAGGTTCAGGTATTCATCAATGAAGTTAAAATTAAAAATTGAATTGTGGATACGTCATCCAAATATAACTCCACTTAGGATATATATTTTATTCCATTACTTAGGATAAGTATTCCATCATAAGAAGGAAACCTGGCTTGGAGAGGCAACATGGAGGAAATAGTGAATTGAGAATAGTGAGAGATGGGGTGACTTTGGGATGGACAGATAACATTAGAATCTGTCTAGGAGAGCCTGAATTGAGAGGGAGATATATACCAATATCTTGGGCAATACTATTTGATAGTACAATTAGTTTAAATGGCAGAAACATTTTCTAACTTAAGATGATAAAAAAAAAAAAAGAACAACAAATGAACTGTGCAGTTTTTACAACTCAGATTTTCTTGTTTTTGTTTTCCTGACTTCCAGATTGTTTTTGCCAGATGATTTTGTTGTCTATATGTACAATCGTGAAGGTGCTGTGTATTCTACTTCCAGAAATACTATGGTAAGATTCATGTTTTATGTCTTCGAGACTCCTTTTCATTTCTTTTTATTTTGTTACTTAGCATGGGTGTTTTTCTAAGAAGAGGCAGTGTGATGTAGTGGATAAAGGGCCAGACTTGAAATCAGGAAAATCTTGCTTCATCCAGTCTTTGATATACTAGCTAGATGATCAAGGGTGAGTCACTGTCTCATTGGGTCTTAGTTGAGTTTCCTTCATTTGTAAAATGAGGAGATCAAACTAGATGACCTCTAAATAAGAGGTTGGACTATATTAGTGATGTCAAACCTAAATAGAAACAAAGTGACTCAACTACATATAAATATATATGTATGTGTGTGTGTGTGTGTGTGTGTGTGTGTATACATATACACACACGTATATGTAGCCACGTGTTAATATTACCTATGTTCTATTGCATCTTTATTTTGTTAAATTTTCCCAATGGTATTTTATTTTGTTTTGATTGGACTCAAGAATCTCGTAGGCTGAATGTTTGAAAACACTGGACTAGATGACCTCTAAGGTCCTTTCTACTTTGTTATATGCTCCCATGTTCTCAGGGTCCTGTGACTAAAAATCACAGATGAATTGCTGATCTGTACTGGTGGAGGCAGTTCCCCAAATAAATAAAATAAGAGGTCTTGAACAGAATCCAAAACATAATATTTTTGCCAACAGCCTCAGCATCCACAATAGCATAGAGAAATCTGGGCATACCCACAATTGAAATGGTGATGGGAAAGCTGTAAGGAGCTAAGAGGAAGAACATTGCTAGCTCTATGCTAGTGCATATTTTTTCTTATTTTCTCTCTTTTCTTCCCAACTTCCAATGAAAACTTGTTTGCTAACCTGATCCCTACTACAGATTGATTTGCTTAAACTAATTGACACTAAGATGTGAATTACCAATGGAACTAAATCTCCCCAGTAGTAGATATAACATTAATTAAAATGAATCCAATAGGCAGAATGTAGGAATTACATTTTGAAAAAGATCTTCTCATAACACTTGCTGAATTCTAAGTGACACTCATCCCTAAATTAGTCTTGTCAGAGGAATGTATGATTCTGTAGATGGTCAGCATGATTTAATAACTTAATCACATGTATACTTGACTTTCTTCTGCCTCTTTACCTTTGTTAGCACCTGCCTCTGTACTTGTTAGGTCTTATAGACTAATAGATAGGAGAGAAAATATGAACGAGCACAATGAACATTCAAAACAGTGAAGGGAGAATTTATGACAACTTCTTTATTTCCTATAGAGGTAAAATGAATCTTACCAGTTTTTACAAAAAATGCAAAATACATTACTTGCTTTGGGGACAACACTCTAAATTTCAAACATAAAGATAGTTCAGTAACAGAAACTTTTGGTACATAACATGGGATGGGATATATACAGCTTTCAAGAGTGAGAAATAAATATTTTTCTCCTTAGGAAACAAAATAGAGATGTGATAATGAAAACTCCCCTACTTCAAAGTTTAATTCAACCAATAGTATATAGTGAGTGCTAGAGATACAAACATGAAAAGAATACAAGATAGAAATAAAACGTGATTCAGACCTCATTTTCAAGGAGGAGTTTCTGCCAGGTTAGGATTGAAATACTTACGAGCAACAAATGCTGGCAGTGTTTTCCTATGTTTCAGATATATAGAGTCAGATTGTTTAGACTGTTCACAGTGATACAGAACTGGTAAATTTGCTAGATCCTCTTTTCTCAGTAAGTCAGTGAAGAAAATAACACATTTTTCTAAAATAATAAAGAAGGGTCAGAGGGCATCTCTGAAAGGGTTTATTTTGCTTAGGAATTATTTGATTGCTTTCCCAGTATTCCACAAGTTTCACGTGTTTTGCATGTAGCCTGGAGGAGTGTCTTTTTCCTAGTATTCCACAAGTTGAGGGATTTATAACTATATTATGGTTAACAACCATAATTGTAAAAATGCATTTATGTGCTCTTTATGAGACAAAAATTCTCTAGTTGGTTTCTGTTGAGTTTAAATATACATAGGAATATAACATTAGTGCAGAAATTAGCCCTTAGGCAAGATTTCTTAACCCTAGAATCTACCGGTTGGTTTTCAAACCTGATCCTGGTATATCTGTAAGAGATTTATCCATCCTATATCTTCTTCTTTGTGAATTGTAGAACTCTCAGAAGAGAAGTCCCATTTCCTTAACGTACTCCATGTTTTTACTATTAGGATCATTCCCCTTACTCAGTTATTTCGTGGTTTATTGGAAAGAGGACTGGATCCTAGATTAAGAATTTTAAAGTTAGATAAAACCTGGGTTTGAGTACTGACTCTACAATTTAACAGCTATGTGATCTTGCAAGCAAATTGCATAACCTCTGAACTTTAGTTTCCTTGTAACTATGTAGGGATATTCATATCACCTGTTTGACAGAGTTGTTCCCAAAATCATAAAATCCCTGACAGGTAATTTATATAGGATCACAGAGCTAGAAGGGATCTTAGAGGTCATATAGTATAATCTCCTCATTTTACCAGTGAAGAAAGTGCCCAGGACTTTGTCTAAGGTCACATAGGCAGTAATATTTAGATATGGCATTTGAATCCAGACACCCTAACTTAAGAGCCAGTGCTTTTTCTACTATGCCATGCTACTTCCTTTTCTTAGCCTTGAAAAAAAAAAAAGATGTAATAGAGTCTTGACTGCTATTTTCAAATATTATAAGACTTGTCGTGTGAAAGGCTTAGAATTGTTTTACTTGTTTCCTCTAAGGAGAATTAAGACTAGTGGTTAGAAGTTAAAGGGAAAGAGATTTTGGTTCAATATAAAGGAAGATTTTCAAACAGTTTAAAAAAAATGGTAGATGGCTCCCTTGGCACTGGAAGTCTTAAAGCAGAAATGGAATGATCATTTGGGAATGATGTAAATGCCTTTAGATTGGAGTAGGGCGAGTCTAATGACATGTGGTCATTCAATCCATGCTGCTATAACTCTGTGATATAGGTAATATAGTTATGCTTCCATTTTATAGTAAAGAAAATTTAAGCTTATATAAAGATTTTGATTTGCCTTGGGTCAGATAGACAGTAATTGAGTTGAGACTTGAAGTTACTTCTTTGAATTCCAAGTCTAGCACTCTTTCTACTATACTACTCTGTTCCTAACCTGAGCAAATACTTTCAGTCATTTTTTTTTCCAGTTCCACCTTGGAGGTGAAACAGGTTAGAACTGAAAAGCCATGTTTGTGTGTTAACCTTGCCATGCTGGATTTTGTGAGTAAGCCAAGCATTTTAAAATTAAGTATGAAGTATGCTAAAATTCATCGCATGCTAGAGCAATAGAATTTGTTCGCTGAGGATTGTGATATGGCTGACTCACTCTGGAGATGGGAAATGGAATAGGAATCCCAAGGCCATTTAGAAGAGAATTATTCTTAATCTCTAAGCAGTAGTACTAATGGCCCATGCCAAACTGTGAGAAATTCTTTGGTTTTAGGGGACCATAGCTAGGTTAAAGTATAAAAGGAGTTGTAAAAGGCCCTAAGGGAATGTGAAAGAGTTGGGAAGAACTATTTTCCAAATAACCTATTTGTCTTTTTTTCCCCCCAGAAATATTGTAACTACCAAGGACACGTTGCAGGTTTCCCAAATTCAGTTGTCACACTCCATGCCTGTTCTGGACTCAGGTTTTTATTATATATGGTTGATTACAAAACCCAGATTTATAATATTTAATCATAATGAATTTGCCATGTATAAGGTAGATGTATGTGCAGAGAAGTGGTAGTAGTTGCAGAATGAAAACCTGGATGAGATTTTCTCATCTATCTTCAGATTGATTGTGAACTCATCTATCAGAGGAATATCTGATTATCAGACTTCCAAATTCCATGCACCTATTCCCTTAACTTTGAGGGCAAAATGTTCACTTGTTCTCTGTGAAACTGTCTGAGAATCCATTGATTGAACAATTCATGATCCTGTTTTGTAATCTTAGAGAAATGGAGAACTGATTTTATGAAAAACTCTGTGTTTTGGGACAGCTAGGTGGCACAGGAGATAAAACTCCAGCCTTGGAGTCAGGAGGACCTGAATTCAAATGTGACCTCAGACACTTGACACTTACTAGCTATGTTACCCTGGGAGAGTCACTTAATCCCTCAAAAAAAAAAAAAGAAAATCCCCCCCAAAAAACAAAACAAAACCTACATGTTTCAGTTGCCCCTTTGGTATAATTTCTCTGCTCTCCTAAGGCAGAAGAGGCTATGTATGGTATACTGTCTGTTGTGAAGTTCTCTGCATATTCTGGACCTAGCTTTATAGGGGTTATAATTTTCCCTATGGTCTGGAGGAGAGAATTGTCTTTAGTGGAAGCGGAATTGATATACATACATACATACATATATATATAAAACATATGTATAATATATATATACACATATATACATATGTATGTGTATATATATGTATATATACACACATATATACATATGTGTGTATATATATGTATATACATATGTGTATATATATATACATATGCATATATATATATATATATATAAAATTTTTATGTATTTATTTATTTTTGCAAGGCAATGGAGTGAAGTGACTTGCCCAGAGTCACACAGCTAGTAAGTGTTATATCTCTGAGGCCTGATTTTAACTCAGGTCCTCCTACCTCCAGGGCTGATGCTCTATCCACTGAGCCACCTAGCTGCCCCAGAATTGGTATATATTTTGAACTATCAAGTGACTTCTTCCCCAATGTATAGCACCACATATTCCTTTAGATTCCTTTAAGAGATCATAGGTCTAGGGCTGGAAGGGACCTTAGTGGGCATCTGGTTCATCAGTCCGTTTATTTGATAGATGAGTAAAGTCATCTCTGAGGATGGTGAAATGACTCTTCTCTATCTTGTATTTAACTACTTTGTATTTATTTGCATTTGTCCTTGTTATATTTATTTTGTATATACTTACATATGTCCTTGTTGTCTCTCCTATTAGAATGGAATCCCTACTCCTTTTGAATAGGATTTTTTCATTTATTTTGTTTGTATCCTCTTAACGTAGGGCGTGGTACAAGGTAGACATAATATGTATTTACTGAATTCTTGTCATCCAAGAATCTATCAAAATTCTATAATATGTGTTGGACTTTCTTATTTTTAAGCTTCATGTTTTTGTTTTTGTTTTTGCAGAGGATTATTGCAGTTTGAAAATGTTACTTATGGAGTTGAGCCCCTTGTGCCTGCAGGTGGATTTCAGCATTTTATTTATCGATTAAGAAATGAAAACACAGGTCTTGCTGTTCTGGCTGAAAATAATGCACATATGGAATCAGAGGACCTGGAATATAAAATTGATTCTAGTGTTGAAGTGAGTTCTAGAAATTTTACCATTCTTTCCAAAGGTTTTATTACTCATCTACCTGAAGTGATCATTAAAATTAACTGGGGTGTTGTGCCATCTTTCTTTTTTGTAATCATCCTGCCTTTCAGCCCTTATTCACCTTTTTGTGACCAATATGCCTTTATATTCCCATCATTACTTCCTAAGGAAGCTTGCTTTCTTCAAGTATCTACTTTGTGGTTCTCTCATCCATATGTGCACAGAAGCTAGCATTTTTTCATCCTGTTTTAGATTGGCCACTGTGTTCAATGTGAACTTAAATACAAGTTGTCACTTTTTAAAAATCACAGTAAATTCTTGGGAATAGAGTCACCAAGAAGGTTTTTATAAAAATGATATTATTGGGGGTTTTCACTCCTAATCGAGGATTAGGAGTTAAATCATGAAAATACATATCTATCAATATATCAAAAACAGATTTAACAACTACAAACCTCTGGAGTCATTTAAATAGTAACATTATACTCGTGATTTGTCAAGTCAATATAAATATATTTTTAGACATTGGTTATATGAAAGCTTAAACATACTGTGCCATACTGTAGACCAGGGGTTCTTAAACTTTTTGTGTGTCATGGATCCATTTGGCAGTAAGGTGAAAATGCTAAACTAATCAGAATAATATCTTTACATAAAATTGAAGGAAATGCTAAGTTTCATTTAGAGGTTAGTGAAAATCATGCTGTAATTTTTTTTTTCTATCCAAGTTTACAGATGCCCTGAAATCTTAGCCCCAAACTAAGAACCCTTGTTGTTGGTAGAGGGTTTAAGTGGACTCCAGGGTAAACTTCAGTCAAAATGGCAAATAATACATTTCAATCCAAGTCTATAGGCATCATAAAATGCATTTAAAACTAGCATGCTAGTTACTGTCAGCATTTAGTTAATAATTTGCTTGTCTTCTTAACAATAGGTGGCTTTTTTTAGTGCTTTACAAAGTACCTTGTTCACATTATCTCATTTGATGCTCACAGCTTTGTGAGGTAGGTGATATGGGTATTATTAACTCCATTTTATACATGAGGATTAGGACTCAGAGAGATTTCTCATGATCATATAATGAGCTATTTGAACTCAACCTTTGTGGACTCTAAATTTAGCACTCTTTCTACTATATCATGCTGCCTCTCCAATTCTTAGAATTAAAAAAGATTTTTTGAGGAGGTAGGTGGAAGGAGAGCAATGGGGTAGGAAGAAAGGGTGGGAGGAATGGTTGATGGCCCAGGTCTCTTTAAAATGCTGTCCCAAATCGATACAATTTATCTTCAGTTGGTAAGTTTCTCCAGGGCAAGAAAGGGTGATTTCAAATAATTCACTGACAGAGCTTTATAAAATATAGTAATTTATGGATGGATTTGGTAATAGCAGGGCCTAGGTTCAAGTCTTAGCTTGACATTTATGAGCGGTGCTAACTTGGAGTAGGCATTTGTTCTTTCTGAGCCTCAGACTCTGTATCTGTGTAGTACGGCTGTCACAACATGGCTCAAAGGGAGGCAAGAATAAACATTTTGAGGATCTTCCCCTTCCCCACCTTTCTCCAAAGGAGACTAATTCTTTCTGGGAAGAAAAGTAGGAGGTTGAAGCCAGAACATGGCTACTTTGTTCTTCTTGGAGAGAGGGGGTACCTGGTTAGAATTATATTTAACTGCTCTCTTGAGTATTGTTAGTGTAGGGGAAGTAACTTAAGCTGAACTCCTGATGCTATTTATTAATGGGGAAAGGGGGCCCCAGGCTTTATGTCCAGGGCTTCATTCCCTTCCTACCAAATACCAGTTCCACAACGAACCCATATAAAAAATGGCAAAGAAACTCATTTATCCAAGTTTATAGCAAAACAGAAACCAGAGAAAGTATACATATGAGAATATATGCCACACAAAATAAATAAAGGAGCTCTCCCATTGTTGGTATAGGCTAACCATTAGGATCATTAGACTTATTTGTGGGGTGGCAGCCATGCCAGGTTGACTGTCAGGATGTTGGAGCTCTGTTGTTTGAATGTGTACCCTAAGAATCTCAGTAGCACTCTTAGACTGGAAAGGAATTGCCTCTGGGTTCAATTCTCCTGCCCTTTAATAATGCACAGAAGTCTCCTTTAATGGAGCCCATAGCTGAGTCAGAAGGTTTTTGTATAGCTGGTGGACAGGGTTTTTTTTTTCCCAGCCTTTCCTTAGGTATCCATCACTTCTTTCCACTTACTCAATAGAAAGCCCTGACTCTCCTATGGGCAGTAGTGGCTGTGGTCAGTAGTTCCAGTACGGCCCCGTGCATTGTCTGGTGCTATCTTTTTTTTTTTAATTGTATTAATTTATTTTGATTTATCAACAATTACTTCCATATGCTTTTGAGTTGAAAATTTTTCTCCCCTTTCCTCCCCCCCACCCTCCTCAAGATGGCGCACAATCTGATATAGGCTTTACATTTACATATCCATTAAACATATTTTCACATTAGTGAAGTTGTAAGTAAAAATTAAAACCAATAGGAGGAACCATCAGAAAGATGAAACAAAACTCAACAGAAGGTAAAACTAAGTGATAGCGATTCGACTTCCATAGTTCTTTCTTTGGATGTGGACAGCATTTTCCATCCCAAGGCCTTTGGAGATGTCTTAGATCCTTGTAATGCTGAGAAGGGTTCAGTTTAACAATATTAGTCATTGCATAACATGGCTGTTATTGTGTACAGAGTCCTCTTGGTTCTGCTCACTTTAGTCAGCATCAGACCATATAAGTCTTTCCAGGTTTTTCTGAAGTCAGCCTGTTCATCATTTGTTATAGCACAAGAGTATTCCATTACATTCATATACCACAGCTTGCTTTGCCATTCCCCATTGATGGGTATCTTCTCAATTTCCAATTCTTTGCTATGTGGTGCTATCTTGTAAACAAGTAAGTTGCCTCGTCTCTCAATAACTTTGTATGAGTGCGCTTTCCATTGGTCAGATAATGTGAATGCCAGTGTTCCTCAATAAAACTCTTATCTCCTTGTTTAACTTCTTGACATCATACTTTGGCAAGATAATGTCTTTTGTTTTTTGTCACAGATTTTAAGAGATGGAGCTGTGAATGGTTAGTAGAGATCTCTCAGCTTCTCCTTAAATTATGAGATATATCTAACATGTTCAAGGGCAGCTAGGTGGCATAGCAGAGAGAATACGGGGCTTAGAGTCAGGAAGACTCATGTTCATTAGTTCAAATGTGGCGTTAGACACTGACTAGCTGTTTGACCCTGGGCAAGTCACTTAATCCTGTTTGCCTCAGTTCATCATCTATAAAATGACCTGGAGAAGAAAATGGCAGTCCAATCCAGTATCTTTGTCATGAGAGTTGGACACAACTGAAAATGACTGAACAACAACAGTGACAATGACAGCTATCTAATGTGTCCAACAATTTGCAGTTAAATGTTGAGGCTGTAGATCTCTTCGAGGATGGTTAGCAGTAGTTTTTAACTTTCTGATAATTGCCAAGGTCAACATTTCCTTAGGTAGCTTGCTCTCTAAGTCTCTACCTCGGCTAGCATGGATTTTGCCAGGGAGTTCACATACTGACAAATACTTTCCCCATAGCACCTTAGCAAAAATAGATACTTTTGGTTGGGTAATACTTGTACATATCTAGTGAAATGGTCAGTTGGTACTATGATATAACGCACATTTTTACTATCTCCTTTTAAATTTGTTGGTACTTACATGCTCTAAATATGAAGTGTGCGTTGGTAGTATTTTCCTTTGTACACAAAGGTATAAAGATGTAAATTTCACAACTTCTTAATGACATCTACAGTTATCTTGGTTTGTTACCAGCCCTAGGGTTCTTTCTTGATTCATATGTCCAAAGTTATCATGTAAGGTATTCATGGCTATTGAGTTGTATGCTTTTGGACAATACCAACCTCATCCTGATTTCATGTGTGGGATTAGTCACAGTTCAAGGCAGCGCTCCACTGCACAGCTCCACCTTCTGCCCTTGCCTTGGCAGTAAGATGCTTTTTGCTATCTGGAACTTTAAATGAGTAGGTTCATTTTCCTTTTGGGGGGTGCTTTTACTTCTCTTAGTCCTCTGCAATGTATTTTTTCTCACCACCAGTCATTTGTAGACAGCTGTGGCAAAAAAGACTGATTCAGCATCACCAGATTCACACACATGCTTGGCATGCTTTCTGATGGAAGTCCCAAGTTCTTGGCCATACTTCTGTTCATTTGTAATCTAGTGACTTGAGCTTCACAAAATGTTCCTAATCTTCTGGTATCACCATACATAGTTGTAGTGTTGTGTGACAGGCAGGCTTATTCTAGAAAGCGGAATCCAACTTGGTGCTGGTCAAGAGATAAGTCAGTAGATTGTTACCAGTCCACACTTGGAGTTTTGCTCCGTATATATTCTTTCTGAATGTCTTAGTAATGTCCCACTTTAAAGACGATAACTTAAGCTTATGGACAGTGTAGTGAGACTCACTGTCAGTCAAACCTCTGCTGGCAAAGCAATGGGCCTGTGGTGGCCATTTTTCCTTAATATAGGACGTCTTTCATCTTGGCAGTGATTTCTGTGTCTTCATTGCTTTGATTACATTAGATACACAAAGGTTATGAACCAAACCCGGGAAGAATCTCTGCAGTACAATTGTTCTGCATCCTCAGGCTCGACAGTGCCTTTCTGTATCACAATACAATGACAATACAAAGACAGCTCTGAAAGACTTTGGTTGAAATATGCTATCCATCCCCAGAAAAAGAACTGATGGTGTCTGAATACAGATTGGAGCATACTTTTTTTTAACTTTCTTTATCTTTCTTGAGATTTTTTTTGGGGGGGTCTATGTTTTCTTTAACAGCATGACTATTATGGAAATGTTTTGTATGTTTTGCATGTTATGACCTATATTGAATTGCTTGCCTTCTTAGTTGGGAGTGCAGTGGAAAGGGAGGAAGGGAGAGAATTTGGAACTCAAAGTTTTAAAAACATGTTAAAATTCTTTTTATATGTAACTGGGGAAAATAAAATACTGAATACACAAAATTTTTTTAAAAATTAAGAAAAGACATTTTTAGGTAATCCAATTCAGAAATATAATCTTTCTAGCCAGATAAGTGAGATTTGTTGGGCACTGCAAGCCTTACCTTGCAAGTAAGTTTGAGAGTTTGGAGAGTCAGTATAGTATGCAGAGAAGGGGAATTTCCTGAGAGTCCTGCCTCTTGCAGTGAAAATATCATATACATGGCTCCTACAGAACAAAGGACACTTCTGGAAGATAGGGGTGCAAGAGATCATGTAAATGATCTTTTTTTTTTTACATGGAATTATTTTGATAATGCAACTTGTGGGCAGAGGGTTGCTTGTATAGAAGTTCCTAAGTGTGATGTCCTTTGTTGGGACTAGGGGGTTTAGTTCCCAAGCATGAGGTGGAGATTTCTTTCTACCTTCAGGAACGATTAATGACAAAGACAGAGATGTATTCCTGGTGGGAGAAATCCCCCTCACTCACATGCTGCATTATGGAAGAAAGTTGAAAGGGAAAATATAAAAAGTGACTAAAAAGATTATGTTAGGTGTACTAGCTCCCTTTTTATAGTCAAGTATGGTGGATGTCTTTTCCCAACAGTCTGTCTTTCCAATATGCAAAAGAAGAAGTCCACACTGTCAAGAACCATTTATAAATACTTCAAATAGAGTCGTGCAAATTAAAGCAACTCTGAGGTTCTAATACCAATCAGATTTGTGAAAATGACAGTTGTTGGAGGGGCTATGGAAAAATAGATACAGTAATGAACTCTTTGTGGAATTTTGAATTGGTGCTGCCGTTCTGGAAAACAACTTGGAGCTCAGTACCAAAAGGCACTGAAGTGTGCATACTCTTTGACCCAGTGAAACCACTATTTATCCTATATCCTAGAAAGAGCAAGAGAGAGGAAAAGACCAATATATACAAAATATTTATAATGATCAGCTACTATCAACTGGGACAGGTGGGTGGTGCAGGGAATAGAATGCTGGTCCTGGAGTCAAAAAGACCTGAGTTCAAATGCAGCCACAGATACTCACTAGCTTTGTGACCCTGAGCAATCACTTAACCCTGTTTGCCTCAGTTTCCTCATGTTCAAAATGAGATGGAGAAGGAAATGGCAGACCATTCTAGTATCTTTGCCAAATGTCCTGATTTTTTAAAGAAGTCGGAGTTTGAAAACTATAGGTCAGTGAATTTTACTTCCTTGGAAAATTCTGTAGTGGGCCAGTAAAAAGATGTTTGTTGAGCATCTAGAAAGGGAGGGGCAGAGTTGTTGAGAGCTAGAGAAAAGAGATCCTGGTCTTCTGGCTTCCAGCCTTAAGATAGAAGACATGACATTCCAGACTATCTTCAGGTCCCTGAGGGAGAGAAAAACTCTGGGAAGAAGCTGAGACATAGAGGCTCAACCTCAAACATGTTCTTATCCCAGGTTACTACATTAGAGACTGGGGGAATTTTCTTTTGGGTGAAATCTGAGACTCTCTGTCTCTCTGTGTTGAGCTGACTTATCTTGTTCCAGTGAGATAATTCATTTGCTCTTTGTATTGTCTGATATAAATTCTCCAAGGTATACTTTTTCTGATTTCTGTTTTTGCTATCAACTTGCCTAGATGAGTTTATTTGCTATTTGCTTCATGTGTTCATTGTGGAACTGGAATTTGGTGAGAAAGGAGCCTTGAATATATAACCTAGGGAACGTCTTCATTAAGGATTAGCAATTAAGATTGCAAATTATTTCTCCTAGACTGGCAACATTTAAGGGATCAGATAGATATAATTATAGTCTAGTATCCCCTCTATCTGAGGAGAGCAGAATGGCCAAGCTTCTGGCCGAGCCTCCTGCTTCTGCTCCTAGAAGGAATCAGTTTCCTTTGGAGAAGGGAGTGAAGGAGGCTCTAGAGGTATCTATTCATGTGAACTATATCTGGACAGACTCATGTTGTCACATATAGCCCACATGGGCAGAGCACCACAAAAAATGTACCCGAACTCCTTACATTTGAATTACTATCACTTCCCCTCTACTATTTCCCTAACTCTCCCCACCCCCAAATAAAGCCCTTCCTTTTAACAAAATATAACAAAATTAGTCAAGCAAACAAATGTCTGTTGTAACGTTGTGTCTGGCATTAACGTTTCATTCTGTTGCTATGATTTTATCACCTTTCCTTCCAAGGGACTGGGAAAGCTTGCTTCATCATAAGCCTTGTAGAATGATGCTTGGTTATTTTTGATCAGAGTTCTTAAATATTCGAAGTTATTTTTTTACAATGTCATAGTCATTTTATAAAGTGTTCTTCTGCTCACTACACGCTACGTTAATTTCGCCAATATTTATTAATATAGGTAACTGTGTGGCACAGTGTACAGTACATTGGATCTGGAGCCAAGAAGACCTGTGTTCAAATTTGGCCTCATACACTAACTAATTAAATGACCCTGGGCAAGTGTTTTAACTTCTGTCTGACTCACTTTCCCCATCTGTAAAATAGGAACAATAATAGCAGTTCCCTGCCAGGGTAGTTGTGATGATGAAATGAGACAAAATTTGAAAAGTGCTTTGCAAATTTTAAAGCACCATCTGAATGCTAGCTAGGATGATGATGATGATGATGATGATGATGGTGATGATATCTTTTAGTATTCTTCTGAAACTTTTCATCATTCCTTATAGTGCAATAATAATTCCATTGCATTCATATATCCAGACATTTTTTTAGCCATTTTTTCCAGCCATTCCCCAAGTGATTGGCAACTGCTTTGTTTCTAGATCTTTGCTACAATAAAAATGCTGCTATAAATATTTTTGTACATAGGAATCTTTTCCCTTTCGGATCTCTTTGGGGGTATATTGCTTATGTTCCATTGCAAAGTCACAGAATTTGAGTTAGAAAGGACCTTAGAGACTATGAAGTCATAATTATAACTTTATTATCCAGAATGTATACCAGTTTTTCATGTTACCTCACTAAAACTGCAGTGGTCTTCATTGCCTGCCCTTTAAAATGGGAAGTTGATTTGAGGGTCATGATTAGGGGAGAGGGAATAAGGGGAAATCAACCTACATAATGAGCGTTCTTTATAAAAATTCTTGTTTTAACTTGAATGACAGGATAATTTATCCATTATGATATGTAGCACTTTTCCATGCTACTTTGCAAGCCAAATAAACTTCACATCCTTCTCTCCGGGTTAATGCCCCAATCTAGACTATTTTCTAATAGGTAAAATTACCTGGAGACTTGTAGTGATTGAACCTGAGCCTGTTTCAGGCTCTTAGGGATAAGGTCAGCAGCCTTATACAATAGTTTCTTTTAAAAGTCTTGATCAACTGATTAAATTATGGTTTCTTGTCCTTGTCTTTGATGCTATTGGGAATTGGTACCACACTAGAAAGATTTCCTGTATAGAATTAGAGTTGAAATTTGACTCTCTTGAACTGTGACATTCAATCTTTTGTCTTAAGTGACAATGGTAATAGAATTGTAATTGTAGAGCAAATTCATATGATCTTCTTGTTGTGCAGATAAACCTATATTAAAATCTTGCTTAATATCTCCTTGTGACATAGAGGGATCCTGAAATGTCAAAAGCTGTAGGAGTGAAGCTGATATGCTGGAGTTCTAACCAAGCTAGAAAGCTTTTGAGGATGAGCTCAGAAACAGACTGACTGTTTTCTGAGTATCAGCCTACCTTTATCATGAGAAATGAGAGTGTAACCTACATTAGTAGAGAAAATGTTAATGAAACCATGGGTCCTTAAAGTATTGCAAACCTAGGCCACAGAACAGGGAACAATTAAAGCTACAAGAAATAATGAATTTATTAAGCACTTAGAAATTTGGGTGCTTTTCCAGAAGAACTTGTATGTTAAATATGGCCAGAAAGTAATTATACACAGGGTGACCCCAAAGTCTTAGTGCAGTTTTAATTTTAAAATTTATCTATGCCCTTTCTTCCTTCCCATCAATGTTTTGATATATTGCTAATGCATAGAAATTATGAAACTTTTACAATTTCTCATTTTTTTTCCAGTCAAGACCATTTGGTCCAAAGCTCTCACCAGTATGTGGAAAACATATTGTCTTGGACAAAGGTTTGGTATGTCTTTATTTCTTTGATCTTAAATGGATATGTGTTTCTATTTCTAGGGACTGGGACAAATTACTACGTACCCCTTCCACTTCTTCCAATCCCCTTAAAATTTTTATCCAGGGTAAAATTATTGAAACTGAATATGAAGGACTAGAGTTAAAAGTAATCTGGGACTTGTGCTAGGGCAGAAAATTTAGAGGGTGCAAAATTTAAAGGGCCTCCTCATGTTCATACTCTTCAGTAGAATAGAAGGAGGTGAGAAACACAAGCTCAGAGACTGAGGGCAGAGAAGCCACAGAACTACTGTCTACTTTCCAGTCTCTTGGTAGAGACTCTAAACGTTATTTGTGGTCTGGAGTAAACAGTTTATGTGATCTCATCAAGCTCTGAGGTTGTGTCCTCTAGGCCACTCTAGTAACTAATTCTACTTCCACTCAGTGAATTTGTACTCATTACTTTTTCTTTCTAGCCTTCCAGAGAGCCATCCCATATAGTAAAGTATGAAGAAAGGAAGAAGAGAAAAAAAAACTGCATAAAGCCAAATAAGAGATAAAAAAATTCTAGTATTAGAGACAGTACGTTCCCCATGATTTTCACTTATGCGAAGGAGCGGGGGGGGTGATATATTCTATCCTTTATTTGGGCCAACCTTGATCCTTATAATTCTAGAGACTTCAGTTTCATTAGTTTGGTGTTCTGTTTTCATGGTTGTATTCATTGTGCATACGATGTTCTCGATTCTACTTACTTTACTTTGTACCAGTTTATGTAAAAGTTTCTGTGCTTCTCAGTATTCATTTTGTTCATTGTTTCTTATAGCAATATATTCTATTATATTCATGTACCACAATTTGCTTAGCTATTCCCATTAATGTATTATTTCCAGTCTTTGCTATGCCAAATATGGCTATAAATATTTTGGGGTACGTAGAGCCTTTCCTTTTGTAGGTATATGCTAGGTGGATTGTCCAAGGTTATGGACTTTTACTCACTTTTTTCATATTATGGATTATTTTTAGGGTAATTTTACATTTTGCATCAATGTGCTTTATTTCAACAGCTCTCCAACATTTACTATTTGCTTTTGTCATCTGTCAGTTTTGCTGGGTGTGAGGCAAATATAAGGGTTATTTTGGTAACATTTTACTCTGTATTACTGGTGGCCTTGGGGTGGATGTTGTTGTGGAAGGTGATGCTGGAAGTGGGTAGTTTTGAGTTAACAACACTCCCCAACAGCTGGAGCTGTTGTGAGCAAAAAAGTTTGGAGCAGACTGTGGGCAGTTTGACTGAATTTTGTCCATATATGTATTGATGTGGGAACTAGCTTTGGGCCCTTCAGTCAAGGAAGATATAAAATCAGCTCTGGGGTTCTGGCAGTGAGCCCTTAAGACTCTTTGCTTATTGCAACATCCTTAGCAGCGATCTTTTTTTTTTCTTTGAACTGCTTCTTAACACCTTGGGAAATGCTTTTACCTTGGAATACTTGAACATCAAATCTTCTATTCAAAGGATTGCTTATTTGAACCCTGAGACTCTCAGTAATCCATTGCTCTAGACATGCAGCTATAACTGGGACATCAAAAACCTTGAAGCAATGAATCATACAGATAATGTA